CCATCCATCCATCCATCCATCCATCCATCCATCCATCCATCCATCCAGCCATCCAGCCATCCATTGTCTTTACCTGCTTCTTCCTTTTCGGCTCGTGGGGGTCACTGGTGCCCATGTCCAGCTATCACTTTGTGAGAGGTGGGGGTCACCCTGGACAGGTCTCAAGTCCATCCTCCCACCTGTTAAAATGATCTCTTTTGTGTGGCCAATTTTAGGAGAGCTGATAGACATGACTCTAAACCTTGTTAGAGCCAGGACAAATGGACAAACTTTGTGAAAGTTTACTTCTTTTAAGTAACTGTTTTAGAAACATTGACGTTCCAGGTGTTACACTGAGGGCTAAGAGCTGCTTTTGATCGATGTTATCTTTCAAAGTTCAAAAGCATCCTAATTTTATGTTGTTGTGTTTTATATGTTTATAAAGGTTTACCTGACAAATTTCAGTAATAGTTTGGATTCATATTTTTCTTTCAGCTGTTCCCCTTTTGGGGTCACCAAAGCGAGTCATCATCTTCTTACTCTGTCCTCACTCCATCTACCTTCATGTCCTCTCTAACTGCATCCATATATCTCCTCTTTGTCCTTTTTTTTTGTTTTAATTTTTTGGGCAGCTGCATTTCTAACATCCTTCTACCAATATACCCACGGCACAGCAAAGCAAACATTTTCTCTTTTAAAAAGAACAAGTTAGTATTAATTCATCCAGAGGATCTGATTGAACTCTGTTGGATTTATCTGGATTATTGAGCACGCATCGGGACATCTTGTTCACTGAGTTATTGCATTGATGCATTAAAGACACAATACGCAAGGATTCAAGGATATTTCTTGTCATTGTAGACGTGAAATTTTGTTGGCACTCTTAAATGTCAATCAAACATTTAAAGATTTAAAACATTTATGCCTTTGGTGTGTGAAGTGTGTTTTGTTTGTGGAGGCAAGGGGTTAAGAAAAGCTGTTCCTCAGCTTGTTTGTCTGTGTCCTGATGGTGCTGTGCCTCATTCTTAATGGCAGTGGGACAAATATGGAAGGACCCGAGTGGTTGTTCTTACAAAAGAAACGTTCTCCCCTCTACATGTGCTCATTGTACACAAAGTCCAAGTCTGGGACCTCAGCTCCCATAATCCTCCGTGCAGTCTTCACCACATGGGACACATTTCTTCTGTCCTCTGCTGTGCAGTTGCTGAGCCACACTGTGCAGCCTTAGAGGATGCTCTCTGTAGTGCTCCTATAGAAGTTTGTAAGCTGTTGAGCCAGATCGGTCTGCTTACACTTCCTCAGGAAGAACAACCTCCACTGGGCCTTTTCATCCAGTCTGGAGGTGTTTAATGTTCATGTCAGATTCTTGGTGATGTGAATGCCAAGGAATCTGACCTCTTGACCTCCACACCGCTGATGAGGAGTAGTGATTGTGTGGTTCTCTGGGTTCCTCTGAAGTCAGTAATGACATATTTTGTTTTGGTTTAGATCGGAATCAAAACCTGTTGCACACAGCTTTGGTAGAATAGAGAGGACTTTTCTTAGGTAATTCAAGCAAAACCTTTCCGTTGGACATGTTTTTTTCAAAGAAAACTACTTTTCCTTTCCCTCATCAATAATCTCGTAGGATAATTTGATAATAGGAAGGCCTAACAAAATATGAAGGGCATTAGTAGAGCAACAAGAAATTTAAAGTAAGATAAATTAAAAATCTAATATGGAAACATCTGTTTGAACTTTAAATGTTTCATTTGGAAATGAAATATGTCAAAAAGTAATATTTACCTTTGTGGCTGTTTTTGAACATTGCTCTTGATCAAAGTGCTGCAGCTTTTGCTTTAGTTTAACAAGAACTTCATCAGAAATATGTGTGATACAACATAATTCCTCATTAAATGGATCAAGAAACTGGGATATGTCATTAAAAACAGCTAGATTATTCTGTTTAAAGACAATGCTTCTATAAAACAACAACAGCAAAAGTAATTTATGTCCTCTTTTTCTGCAAACCAATATATTAATTCTCAAATGGTTCGAAATGCATACAGACCATTTTAAATGGTAAATGGACTGCACTTATATAGCACCTTTCTATCTTATCAAGGCACTCAAAGCTCTTTACACCACAATATGTGCCCTCATTTACCCATTCATACAGCACTCTACTAGATCGATACAAAGCTAGTTGAACAAATCATTCTAAAGAGACTATCACATTCATACACCGATGGGACACACATCAGAGGCGATGAGGGG